TTGATTATTGGCCGCTATTTTGGTACATTAAACCACATTAAGCGTTTTAGAATATCCCAATTCTTTAAAAACATAAAATTAAAAAAAAAAAAAATTTTAATTACCTTCTGTTTAGTTTGTGTAGGCTCTACAAGCGTCTCGACTCCGCTGACTTTTCTGCTACAGCTGACATCTCCCCACCAAACAGCGCTTCTCCTCAGATTAATAACCCCAGCAACTGACCATGAAAAGCATCGCTTCCCCCGACTTGCTACCGGTTCACGTGCGCTCCAGCCAACTACCAAGCCCAGGGCTGCGGGTGTGTGTGTGTGTGTGTGTTTTTTTTATCCTGTAGGTGAAACCACGCTGACCCTGCTGCATTCCCACTGGGTCCTAACGACCCACCAATCTAGCATACTGCATGAAGAAACAAATCCAGGAAATGAACTAACACCATGGGTAATAGCAGCAACAGCTGCTACAGGCTACATTTATAATACAAAATGTCGTTATATTATCCCGAATCTTATCCGTGTGTCCTGGAGACTCTAGCTTTAAAAATACATTCACTTTTATTTACACACAGTAGGACATTATCGCATCAAACACGGAAGCGGTCTAAGTAGAAATGGACACGGACTCGGTTTCACGACGTAGGACGTTTGGAGATATTATCCAAGCGACTTAAGTAACAATTAGAGAAACGGGACAAGCTACCGCTGCCGCGTAATTCTATGGTAAACGCACATTATGCGTTATATTCGTGCGTATAAAGCGCGGCATTGCAGTGACTTAAATCATTAACATTTAAATCATTGGCACACGATTTTTAAATCACGATTCACTATTCACATTTGTCGCCGCCCTGCGGCTGTTTTACACAGATCATCGTTTTTCTAAACATTCATGTATCTGTGCTTAATGTACAATATAAAGATCTGCTCCTCAACTTACGAACTTTCAGACATGCAAAGAGGACTGCAAGTCCAAATTGCGTTCCTTAGGCTCCCTGTCCGCAACATCAAAGTTTGTTCTGTGTGTCAATTCCGCCTAGTATGAATTCTGGCCGCTACTCCTGCCGCGCAGCAGCGTAGCGCGTACTGCCAGCATCCTAGTTCTTAGTACTTGCGTACCGATAAGACGTGCTCTCGAGATCAAAGTTTAGCCTACTTCGTTTTTATTGCGAAATGATCTGTGCATCCATTATCCATTTTTGTTTTATGCATCATTAGTAATGTGTTTTAGAATAAGAAAACATGTATTGACTTTATATCATACTATCGTGAACCGGTCATCCGAGCCCCCTCATTTACCTCGTATGGAATCCCCGTGTTCCCAGATGTTTCAAGTCATGTTGATTGTTTCTGTGTATTTAAGTACGAGTTAGAGTATGTTTCCCCAGTCTGGTCATTAATGTGTTGATGTCGTTTTCATGTTCCTGAGTGCGTTCACCTGATTTCACCGGCTTCTGTGCTGCTTCCCCGAGCCGAATACGTGACAGAATGACTGGACTCGGGAAACATACTCTAACACGGACTTAAATACACAAGACTAATTAACACAACTAGAAACAGCTGATGACACGGGGATTCCACACGAGGTAGCGGGGGGGGCATGGCACACAGGAGGATCGGCACGAGTAGGGCATGACACTAAGTTTATGCATGTAATTTTGAGTACCCTTAAAACAGGGGTCACCAACTCCGGTCCTGGAAGGCTACTATCCAGTAAGTTTTCTATCCTACCTGGTTTCTGATGAGCCACACCTGCTCCTGGTATTTACCTGAGGACAGGTGTGGCTCATCAGAAGCCAGGTAGGATAGAAAACCTACTGGATAGTAGCCCTCCAGGACTGGAGTTGCTGACCCCATGCCTTAAAATGATGTTAAATAATGACTTACGAACATTTCAAGTTACGAACGGCCGTTCGGAACGTATCTCGTTCGTAAGTAGAGGAGCGTCTGTATGGATTTATAGGAGAACATCGATACCAAAAGATGTGTTCATTTTCCCAGATAGTATAATGCTCTTAGCACACTTTACTAGATGTGTCTATCTTATTTTTCCTTACAGTTATTAACCCATTAATGTATTGCCCTATTGCACATTATATGGATACAGTATAATAAATATGTACAGACATAGATAATCTAAAACGGCAAGGGTGTGCATTGTCCCCCAGAGTAGGATATTTCGTGCCTAAATAATTATGTAATAGAAATTCTGTGAGGTAGCCGGGCACAGCTGCAGGGCTGTCGTGGATGCGGCTGTAGCCTGTGCATATTAGCCGTAGCCTCATCGATTAGATCTTGAGTGGCTGTCCCAACCAAGTTTCCACGACCACATCCCCTGTTTGCTACATAGCTGTGATTGGACAGTGATTACATTTCATTGGGGCAGGATTTCAGTGTTTCCAGTCGTGGCCAAAAGCTTTTTTATTTTTTATTGTTAGTTTTGCTGGACTGAGTGTCTTGATCTTATTCAAAGTTCAGCCTTACATACTGCTGAGTTGAGGCTGAAGTTGGCTACTTATTCGCAGCTACTTATTCGGATTTTTCAGGTCCACCTTAAATGCTTCTTTTTTTCAGCTATTTCTACAGGCCCCTGCTCTTTCATTTCAAAACGTCCCAAAAATCTGCCATTGCCATCTTATAGTAGGTATAACAGAGTGTAAGCAGACTTATTTTGGTGAATTTTTACTGTAGCATTTTCTCATAATCACCTCCTAAATGTGGCACCAACACTCCATTCTCTATATGGGTCTCAATGCATTTCTGAGCAATTACATCCCAGCTTTCTTT